TAGGGACAGAGTGGCCTAGAGTCACTGCGGAGATCAGAAATCACGTCCCACGTCAATGACACCGAAACCTACCAAACGTTGCTGACGTGCCACGTTCACAGGCTGCGGGGCAGGGCACTGTCGAGACCTCAGTGCCCCTCCAGACTTATTTACAGAATCTACCAAATCCAACCAACGAAACTCCAGCAGACTTTTCCGAATGAAACGACAGCCGAGTCTAAGACCCATGTGCAACGTCAGAAACCCACAACCGCTCAGAAGCTGCAGAACAGACCTGAAGGGCGAGCGCCGCCCGGTGACTGTGAAGCCCCAGGAAGCAGCCGGGGTGAAGACAGCGCTGATGTGAAGACAGGCACAGAACGACCCTCACACACAGACGGCCCATGGGTCTCGCCGGAGGGAAGCAGGTGGCCCTGGGGGAAAGGTCACCGCCCCGCACAGCGGAGCTCTCCTCGCACCCAGCATGTGCTCAGACGAACGCAAGTCGGAAGCACACGACTTCCAGAAGAAAACGCTGGAGAAATTCAGTGGCCTTGGGTTTGGCAAAGTTTTCCCAAACAGCACACAAAAGGAACAAACTGTAAAAGAAAAAAACTTGAGAAACTGAAATTCAGTACTGTGAAAATCTTTTACCCTTCACATGATGACTGTTACTAAAACGGAAACACAAGCTGCAGACTGACAGAAAATATTTGCTAAACATATGTGACAAAGGACTTGCATCCGGAATATACGAAGAATTCTCAAAATTTAGTGAGGAAACAAACCACCCAATAAAGAGCGGGCAAAAGACTCCAACGCTGGGGAACTTCCCCGGAACAGACACACGGGTGGCGTGAGCATGAGCAGCGCCCGCAGCAGCGGTCATCAGGGCAGCGCGGCCCAGAACCGGGCAGTGACCCCTGCCCAGCATGACAGCCAGCACGGAAGAAAGCAGGCCACAGGCCAAGCGCTGCCAGGCGGCAGGGGACTGCGCCCTCGGGCACGGCCGGGGGCAGGGACCGGTATAACCGGTCTGGAAACCAGCCACAGTTCCTCAAAACTAGACACACGCCTGCGGGCACGCCAGCGCCTGACACCTGGGTGTGCACCCAAGCACACGGCACAGGCGTCCACACGGAGACGTGCCCATGGAACCCCGTGATGCCCCACAAAGGAAGCCACCCTCCACTGAGAGCTTTGCTCAAAGGCACATGCCAGTCTGGGTCCCTTGGCCCCACAGGCCTTATGTCAAAGCTTTATCTGGGGTCTGTCTATTCCCCGCTGTCCCAGAATCGTAGCTATAGAAATTCTGTTCTGCTAGGGGCTCTCAGTGCCTGAAAGGTCCCGCTGGACCCTTGTGATTGTTCCTGGCCAAGGGGACAGAACAAACGGGCAGCTACGCATTCAAGGCTGGTGCTCAGGGGACGCTGGTCCAGCTGGGTCGGCACGTGGAGTCCTTGGGTGTGGGGGGCACCGAAGGGCAGAGCCTGGTGCATGCCCCATCAGGAGCCAAGAGGAAGGGGTCTGGAGGAGTATGGGAGGAGGGCGAAGTGCGAAACCGAGAACGTGAGTGGCAGGCAGGACCAGTGGCTGGCACCAGCACCGTGGCGGGGGCAGAGACCACCGGCCAAGGAGGGACTGCAGTGGCGGCAGCGTCTGATGGCAGAGAGCAGAGGGCAGCAGTGTCTGGAAGGCACCAGCGCAAACTGGTCAGAGGTACGAGAAGGCAGACTTTGGCTCGCTGTGGGAGAAAACCTGGAGAGATTGTTTCATTCCTCATCGCAAAAGAGCCGCTGAAACAGAAAATAACACCTGCTTCCCTGAGCAGCCGCCTGCCGGGAACCTAAGACCCCGACGGGCGCGAACTGGCCAGCGCGAGCTCACGGAGGAGATATCGTTTGAAAAGTGGTCAGTGAGCTGTCACGAAGACGCCCTGCTGCCTGGAAGGCACGAGTGAAGCCACACACTATTCCCCCGATTCGCAAATCGGGGAGGGCAAGGCCGCCTGCGGTGGCGCTGACGGTGGCCTGGACTTGGGGCGGCCATCCTGGTGCTCAGCAACGGCGCGCCGGGGGCAAGGCCCTGTCAGCCAGGCTGCCACCACACAAGCCTCAAAGAGAGAACAGTCAGAAACGCGGGGAACAAGCGGCGTCTGAGAAGAGAGCTCGTAAAGGAAAAGCTGACAGGTGACATCGGTCAGCTGTGACGGGGCAAGGGCGAGCACGCGTGAGGTGTTTCATTCCTACTGAACCGGAGGGAGACGCCCGCGGGTGGGCTGTGCTGCCCGCCGTCTGGTGAGAACCGGGTGACAGCTGTAGGGATGTGGATGCTGACACCGGACCGGGACGAAGGACGAGCAGTGCACACATGCCACGGAACCCGCGCCCGCCCCGCCGGGCCCTGTCTGGGACGCCGAAAGCCCAGGGTCACACAGCTAGGACAGGGCAGAGCTGGCATCTGGGCCAACATCCCTGGGCCCCCGCTTATGACTGCAGTGGACAGACAACGGGACCAACGCAGCAGGGAGGCGGGGGGCACGAGCTGGCCGAGGGTCCCGGGAAGAGGGAGGACCTGCAGACTCAGTTCGGTGAGTTCTGGGAACAAAGCCTTGGTTCATCCCCTCCCCACACTGCGAAAGCCGGAAGACCACACTTGGGGGCACGCACCAGGCTGCCAGAAGCCAAACCCACGTGGAAGAAAGACGAGCCACAAAAAGTCCCACTGAAGTAAGAGAAGCTTAGGAAATCGTATCAACAAAGTAACACGGGGAATGGCTCTGCGTGGGGCTCCACAGCTGCAGGCACTGGAGGACACTCAGGGTCCTAAGTGTCACCTGTTACCACACTGAACCTGTATCCTGAGCCCGTCAGGTGATGCTGTAATCCTAGAAGGATGTGGAAAACTTTATCTTCCGAGAAGGTAGAGAAAAAACTACCTAGTGAGATTACTGTAGCCCCGAGAAGAGGAAGGAAAGAATTGAACTCGGCATCACGAAGCTTCCAAAAAGCTTATGATAGTTTTATAATCATTGGGTTTTTATTTTGTTTGATGTTACGGGTGATATATTTAGAGAAATAAATCATTTGATGTAATTCTCACTTAAATGGTTGAGAGAATTTAAGTCTGCGAGCAATGCTCAGAGTTTCATTTCTAAGTTCGTTTACTGGTTAAGAAATCACATGGACTTAGCCTTGAACAAACAGTCTAAAGGCCTCTTTGCATGCACGAAGGACGCCCGCCACACCGCACGACCTCCACCCTCCATGAGAGGCAGCGGTCTCCCGAGCTGCACGGTGACAGGGCCAAAATCCCTTTCCGGCTGCTCGACTATTAAGGAAAAAGTGCCAGAATACAACTTATTCTGTAGCTCAGCATGAGCGCGATGCCGTCTCAGCTTCGACTTGTAGTTGAAGAGTTAAATCTGATTGACTTGCAGGTAATGTTTTGTACTATCCAAAGTACCCTTAACACGGACACAATATGTGATGTCTGAAAGGAGAAACCAGCCGCCAGTGGGGCTTGTTCCGGGAATGCGAGGCTGGCTCCATCGACGCGACGCAGCACAGCGCCGGGTTAGGAGAAAGAAATCACCTGAATGTACCCATCGACGCACAACGGATTTGACAAAACTCAGTACCTGTTTATGATGAAAATTCTCAGCAATTAGTAATAGAGAGAACTTGATAAAGAACATGCACAAAACCAGTTAACATGAAACTTAACAGCGAGAAAATGGATGCCTCCCCCTGACACGTGGAGCAAGGCCAGGACATGGGCTCTCACGACTCCACCCACCGCGGCCCCGGGCATCCCAGCCAGCCCTGCAGGGCGAACCGGATGCAGACTGAGTGGGAAGAGCACCCTTCACAAGCACTTCAAAGTAACGAGAGGGAGACGTAAAAGCACGCAGAGGGCTTGGACGGCCGAAAATAATAAACGCTGCTGAAAGAAACCGATCTGCATCGGGGAGAGCCTATCCCACTCGTGGGCCAGAAGACTCAACACAGTAAAGGTGTCACTTCTCCCAGAACTGATGTACAGGTTTAATGAAATTTCTAGAAAAACCCAGGTAAGACTTGTTTGTAGATTCTAAAACGTATGAGGAAAGGTAAGGATATGAGAATAGCTGACACAACTTTTAAAAAGAATAAAGGGAGACGAACCACTCTGATTTAAGACTTGCGCTCCAGCAATCGAGGCCGAGTGGTGTTCGGTGGGAGACAGACAGACGCGCACGGCGCGGGGACAGAACGGAACCCAGAAACAGAGCCACGCAGACGCGCGCCACGGGTTTTTGCCGAGGGCGCACAAGCAACTCAGTGGAGGAGAGAGATCCGCTCAGCAAACGGTGCTGAGCGCTTAAGACACCCACAGGCAAACGGAGCGCACCTCAACTGAACACAGCACACACGAAAGCGAACAAAATGGGCCAAAATCAATTAGGTTAAGTATAAATCATAAACTATAAAACTTTTGTAAGAAACATAGGAGACATTTTTGGGTCCCAGGGCTGAGAAGGATTTTTTACACACGACATAAAAACCACAGTCCACGGAAGGCAGAAAGTGAACTGGACGTCATTCAAATCAGAAGCCTGCTCCGTGGGAGGCCCTGCTGAGGACTGAAAACCAAGCCGCAGACTGGGAGACACATCTGCAGGCTGGGTGTCCAGCAAAGGACTCTGCTAGACTATATGAAGAACTCTCGAAACACAACAATAAAAACGCATTCCCTCCGATCAGAAAACGGGCGAAACAGATGAGCAGACCGAAGCGGCCGTCCCACGGGAGACGAGCAAGGGGAGCTGAACCCGTAAGGGCGACCCCGCAGCATGGGGGCTGCTACAGCAGCGGGGAGAGAGGCAGAATGCGGAGGAGCCACCCGCGCTTCGCCATCGCCGTGGGACTGTGCAAGGCACAGTCACTCTGGAAAATGGTGTGGCAGCTCACGAGGGAAACCAACTCCACACCTGGCCACCGCACCTGGGCACTTACCCCAGCGAAACAAACGTGTGTACAGACACCGCACACGGAGGCCCAAGGCCTCCCAGCAGGGGACGGGCGGAGCACAGTGCGGTCCAGCCACACAGAAGGGACCCGTCCGCGAGACCTGCAACCGTTTGGTCAGCCCTCAACGGCCTTATGCTGAGTGCAAAAGCCAGTCTCAGAGGGTCACAGACTGAAGGATCCCGCGGACACCACCTTCTCAGGACGACAAGACCACACGGGGAAACGGACAGCAGTCGCCAGGGAGCGTGAATGGGGTCTGGGGGCGGCCACAAAGGGCAGCATGGGTCCTTGGTGTGACAGGCAGGTCTGAGTCTCGACTGTGCTGGTGGTTAAACAAACGCATGCACGGCTTACACTGCACAGAACCACACGCGTGTGAGAACAGGTGAAATCGGAATAGGGCGTAGCTCTCTGTACTTGTCTCACGCCGATTACCTGACTTTACGTTACTGCACTACTAACATGTCAGATGGCACTGGGGGACTGGCACAGGGTCTCTCTGCACTGTTCTTACAACTTCCTGGGTGTCTGTATTTAAAAAACAAAGTTAATAATTAAAAAAAAGAAAAGGATAAACCAAAACCACAAAGACCAAATATATTTAAAAACTGTCTATTCTGTTACACATTATCTAGAAGCTGTTAATATTTATTTGCAAAGACAAATTTGCCATCCAGACAGTAAACTCATTAACGAAATAATCTCATCAAATATGAAAAACAGCTTTTAAAAGTTCCGTCATCTGTGCAGCACACGCTTTGACAACGGTGAATCAGGACTCACACTCGGGTCAGGTTTGTTCGGTTTGTTAACTGCTCTAAAAGGATGAAATTCTAACTTCATCTAAGGACAGTCGAGATCCTGACAGCATGAACCTCATTTGAAAAATCCAATTCTGCACTGGGAAGTTTAATTAGAAAAACCCCGTCGGAGAACAGTAACAAAGTATTCTGAGACGAAGAACTCACGCAAAGGGACGAGGGGACACACCAAGATGCCAACAAGAATGTGTGTGAAGGGCGGAACAAGTCCCGCCCCACTGAAACACAGTGTGAGCTCGCAATCCGTATCTGCTGAAACCCTGAATGAAAAAGTTGTTTACTTGGTGACAAATGGGGAACTAACCGTTCAACCCCACTAGCTGGCATTGAGTTGGGGCAAAGTGCATACTAAACGCCATCCTACCTCCCGGGTAAGCGACGCCCAGTGCAGGCACAGAGGCCATGAAACTCGGCACTCACAGAGGGGCTGTGAGTGGGGACAGCCTTGGAAAGCTCTGTGGCCCCGTGACGCAACAGCCTGACCTTCAACCCACACCCACCTCCCCAGGATGAGAGACCCGAAGGGGCCGTGAGCAGAGGTGGCTGGACCCCCTTGCGCAGATTAGAAAATGAGGGCCCAGACAGCTCCGCATGAGGCCAGTCTTCAGCTGCGTGGCTCCGCCGCCAACAGGGCACCCTTGCTACATCCCCGGCCACCTTTACCAGCCTCTCTGAATAGCTTTTGCCAAGTGTCGAAACACGTGTTTACTTGTTCCCTTGCTTTAAACTTGGACCACCGCAGTGTGGTCCAGGAGACAGTGTGAGCAGAGTCCACCAGCTCAGACAGGAGAGCTGCCCACTGACCCCCAGGATACAGGACCGGATGCTGCACAGCACCTGTGCACAGGTGTGAGTGGCCAGAAAAAAAGCCCCAGAGAAGGCCCTGCAGGCAAGCGCCCTCCTCTGGGCCTGGGTCTGCTTCTGAAGTCCCCTGCCTCCCAGGAAAGTGGCAATTTAAGGTACTAACGATGTGGGGCCAAGGACTCCCAAAGAAAACCATCCGCCTCTGCAGTCCACAGGTTGGGCCTACGTTTGCTCAAGCACCGAACGCCAGACTGTTTCCGGTTTTACTTATCAGAGGCACTGTTCCCCTCATATTTGTCAGCCGCCTACACGCCCCAAGAACTGCTGCTTGGCCAGCTGCTGGGAGACCCCTCTGTCATCATTCACGAATCACACACAGGCTTGTGCTACCAACATAAACCCAACTGAAAGTTCAAAGAAAAACCAGAACCATCTTGAGGGCCTGCCACCAAGTGCAAACTACTGTTAGGCACTGCACTGGCACTGGACCCTGTCCTCAAGACCACTAGTAGTGGGGGCAAAGGTGACAACGAGGGAGACTCGGTGTGACTGCTGGGAGCAGGTTTGCAGGGCGCGGGGTGTCCGGGGAAGGAGCCCTGGGCTGACGTCGCCCAGCCAGAAGGGAGAATAACTCGCTTATCCCGCTTGGAGGGTGCGGTGAGACCACGGACCAGGGAGCACTGTGAACGGCTCCCAGACGGACGAATAAGTGTGCAGGTGAAACAGGGCGAGAAAGGAAACGAGAACTCGGAATTCGGGGCCAAAGCAGAAACGCCTGCTCGCTGGGGACAGCGGCCGGCCCACCTGCGGGGCCTCCCGGCCATCGGGCGGGGACTGGCGCCCAGCGCAGAGGTGCCTTCGGAGAGTGACGTGTAGTTACGAAGCCCCTGACTGACCGCTGCCCCGGAAGGCCGGAGCCCCTAAGCTGCCCACCACGCGCGGGCTCGGGGAGGCCGCCCAGCAGCCGTCCCGGGCTCGTGGGGCCCGGGGGGCGCAGGTGGGAGTCGGTCCCCTCAGGCCAGGCCCACGTCGGGAAGACGCCGCATTCCCGGGGCGGGGACAGCGGTCAGTGCCTCCGGGCGTCCGCACCTGGGCT